CGAATGCAAATGCGACCGTCCGCGTCCTTGTCGTCCACAGCGTGCACAGCTGGCTCCTGCAATCGCTTCGAGACCAACTCTCCGGATTCAAGTGTACACGAAGTTCAGCGGCTTCTAGCACTGCATCCTAACCTTTGCGAAGAAAACATGGACTCCATATGAACCACAAGTAAAACAAAGAAGCGGAAACCCCGCATATGACTGCACACACTGCATGGGATCCGTCCGTGGGCTTCAAGGAGGCGTCGTCAGCCGCCGGCCAGGCCAAGGGCAAATTCAAGGGGGCCTTCCGAAATCCAAGGATCGCTTCGCGTGAAATCTCTCTGTCTGTGACTCCGCATATGCTTCTTGCCGCTGCATCCGCTGCCGGCTGCTTCGTGCTCATCGCCTCATCAGGAGACGAACCTCCTGTCATTTCTCCTCATCCTGATCCGGATCCTCATCAAGACATCATCATCAGTCGAACCATCATGACAAATCATCAAGGTCATCTTGATCACCAACCCCCGCCGCCACCAGCATCACCCCCAAGTCATCAGGGCTGCTGCCACAACGCTACCATGGTGAGCACTGCTGCGCCCCATGGCAGGGCTGCTCGATGCTGCCTTTCGGGCCATCAGTGGGATGCACCTGCCGCTTCATCATTGTCATCACCATTGTCACCGCCGCAAGTCCTGCCACGCAGTTCATCGAAAAACTACGTCACAACTGCTCATTCGATAACTTCAGCCGTTGTGACTGAAACAAGTCCCAGTGCCCTCAGGGCGAACAATTCCGTTTGTACGGCAACCAATGCCGATGCTTACTTGATTGTAAGTCCAATGTTCCTAGTTGTCGCAGAATTCGCTTTGCTGTCACTCCAAAGAGCCACCCGGTTCTAAGGACTCTCAGGACTCTCAATATTGCCACTGTTCTCACCATGCTCTTGTGTCCATAGCCAAGCCCTCCGTGCTTGTACTTCACCTTCCGACGATTGATTGCCGTTCTTGTCACATCACCATCTCTCCTGTGCAACTGCTGTTCCTGTTAGAACCAGCAATCTCTCTCATCAGCACTACGAGCACCATCACTCTTCGACTAGGCTTGCCAGTACTATCGCTGCGACTGTTACTACAACTTGCTACAGCTCGATGATTACGCTTGAAACCTGACGACTCCACATGCTTATTCTTGTTTAAATTCTAGAATGCTGCACCCGAAGGGCAATCTGAAGATTCGGAGGCCTGAAGCTCGTTTTCCAATTGCTGCCACACATCACCTCGCGGGAGCACAATGCTCCGATTGCAACCAGAGACACGCTTGACCACCAAATCGCCTCTCAAGTGCGAAAGCGAGGAATCCACAAGCCCCTGGGTCTTCAACCCTCTCCATCGCCATCTTCCGTCAAGTCGACGCCCGCCTCCGCGAATGCTCGCACGAGAGTCCGCCGAAACGCTCGTTAGCAGAATGGGCAACGGAGCCATGCCAGCACTTACAGTACATCTGCTCAAGGGTAAAGACAAAGGCAGAGAACCGTGCACTGGGTTGTTGGATTCTCGCAAGCAGTGGGAATTCGCGCACTGAAAGAGCCAGATTCGGGATTCGCGCTGACCGTGCACATGTACTGTGGTTTCACGCAGGGCGTTAGAGGTTGAAGGCTTCAAGCTATCAGGGGCTGTACGCGTGGGAACGAACCGACGAACCAACGAACGAACCAATGAACCAACCAACAGGGACAAGCAAGTCCCCGACGAGGCGGGCGAAGGGGGGAAGCCTAAATCCTGGAAGGAAAAGGTGTTAAAAGGTGCGATCGAAGCGGATGGCTGCCACGGAAGAAAGCGCAGCTTGGGCTGGGACCCTCCTTCTTTTTGGGGCTTCGGCGTGCGCCTCTTCTCTGGAGCGCTTCAAAGAAGCTCCAGGCTCTGCCTGCATTCGTGCAAGCTAGGCCACTAGGGAACTCGTAGAAGAGTCACTGCAAGCGTTGCACCGAAAATGTCCGGTGCAGTAATTCAGGATTCGCGACGCGCGTGAAGCCTTGGACGTCACCAGGTTCAGAACTGGCATGTCGTCCTCATCCTGCAAAGCCAGTGCGGCGGCAAATCGCGGATCTACCGAATTTGACTTGCAACATCTTGCAACGCTTCAGAGCTACTGTCCGTAGCCGAAGGCACAGCCCTGGTGCCTCAAACCTTGGCAGCTCCTCGTCGATGTGGCCCTGTCGGAAAACAGGACAAGGAGTAAGGACACAAAGGACACAACGTGACACAACACACATCCCAGCGCCTGGCCCTCCGCAGCCTCGCTGGCTTGGGGCTGGCCCTGTCAGGGTCGGATCAAACTAGACCTAAGACTCCTGGTGTTCGTATCCCGAAGTCTCTTCCGACACTACGCCTCGTCTGGAGCCTCTGCATCTAGCGCGAGGTCCTGCAGACAAACTGTCATTCGCTTGTCGTACCAAGCGACGGTAGACTGAAGCCACGGCCTCCTCGTCGAGAGGCTCGGGCGCCGGCTTCTTCGGACTCCCCTGAAGACGGCTGTCAACTTCCGCACCAGAAAGCAAACTTGAAACAACAGCAACGGCACTAGCTCAGCTTTTCTTGCTTCATCGCAGTCTGTCATCCTGTGCAATCGGGAAAAGGGGGATGCTTCGGCTTGGCCGAATTGACTGTCTGAATCTGGAAATACTACGGCCAGTCCGAGAAGGCAGCTGTGGTGACATCATTGGAAAGGGCACCACACCGCACCAAATCAGATCAGATGATCCGTAGACTTCCTGTGGATGTGAAGCCTCACAGAGCTAAGGGGCCTGCCAGCACTCCCACACTCAGTATGGGAGAAGCCGGCGATGCATCAACTGTGAGCACCTTTGATACGATTTTTCAATAGTCTTTAACAGGACCGCCGTGCGAAAGAAACACCCTCGTTCGTCCCTGTGCCTCTTCTTTGGCATCACGTGCAAATTGACATCATTCCATCTACACATGGAACAACTCTCCCATGCAGTTCACACTTCTTGATTCCATGACCGTGCTGAGCAACGAAACGAAGGGGGACACCAGGGTGCTTCAAGCTGTTGCACGCAGTGCTGCATGTAGACACGACAGCTCTGCCTGCCTCCTCCCCAGGCTCCAATTCGTGAGTTGCAGTTCATGTGCGTTCTTCTATTCGTGACTCTGGACTTCTGAAAGCATCTGAAAGCCCTTGCCTTGGGAGGACAGAACGTGCAGCCGATGGTTTCTCAAACGTCACGGCATGCTGGTTCGCAGAGCTTTCAACTCATGCAGTATCACAGCCCTGCCGCGGCCAAGACAGTGGCGCGCGGCAGTTGAGAGGATTGCGGCGAAGTTCATGGACCGAATCACCTGGCACTTATCTTCAGGGCACATTCTTCCGGTTCAGGCTGCAGACTCCAAACCCTCGAAGCCCGATGACAAACAGTTCGGAAGAAGCAAGCAGCCCAGTCTTTTAGGTGGCACCTGCCGCAGGTTTTGAAGCTTTCGCGGCTTTGTCTGAAGACGGTGGGCAGGTAGTCCTGCTTGGACAGCCACCACCTCGAGCGAAGGACACTTTCTCGCAAGCACACCTAGGATGCTGCTCAAGGCGCTGCCACGACAAAGCGCGCTTCTTCGAGTCCGTCTTGTTCCACACGCTCCTGTAGTAGCTCTGCGAGGACGCCCAGCAGCTCTGCCCTGGGCATCGTGCGCATCAGGATGCGCTGCAGCTTGTCCGGCTTCGGACTACAGGGGTGCTGGTGGTCCGAACTGCCCCGTGTCGGGGCGGGCACATCGACCACTGTTGCATTCTGCCCTTGCTGGAGAGTACGAAGATGGCGTTGTGCCCATGCGTCCTCAGCTACCTCCGAGTTCGCAACGGAGGGCTCAGGGGAAAGGCTCCGGGTCCTGGAGCGGACTCCACGCTCCTCAGCCGCGTCTGCGTCTGTCACATCAAGGAAGGTGAAACGATACGCGACGCGAGTGCGATGCGTTTCGGCCATGGCCAAGGCTGCGAAGCGGCACAAACTATCAGTGCTTGAGCAGCGCTCATCAAGCACATGCTTGCTGAAGAGGCCGTGCCGCCAGGGGTTTCGAAGGAATGCCAGGCTTTCAAAGAATGGTTTCCAATGAACCACACATGACCGCAAAAACGAACAGGCAAACTCGTGAACTGTTCAACGGCCTGCAACTCACGTTGCCCCAAACGCTGAAAACACCAAAGCCCTGAAGCCCAGCAGGAGCAAAGCCCGGCCTTAGCCTTGCCTTTGGCCTTGACTTTCGCCTTGGCCTTGGCCTTCGCCCGCCTTGCTGAGAACATGGGCTTTGCTACTGCTACAACCCTTCAAACCCAAACCCGGCATATATAGCATATTCGAAGCATGGCATTCACTATGCTGTTCCATTCTATTCTATTCTATTCTACCATATGCGAGTCTATTCTATTCCAGTCTATTGTTTCATAGTGTACAATAGGTTAGTACATTGCATTACAGTGCATGTTACATGATTTTATGTTATTTTTTGCTATCTTATGTAACGTTGTATTATATTATATATTTTGAGATAAACATATATATATATATACCCCGGCCAGGGAGCAGACTTCTTGGGCGCCATGCGAGCTGAGAGGGTTGGAGCTAGGGTAGGCTCATGCCGATCTGGTCTGAGTCTAACTTTCGGGGTTTTCGTGCATCGTCTGGTTTAAAGGCGCGGGGTTGGGGTTCAGGGCTCCGGAGCTCCGGGTCAGGTGCACTCAAGAAATCGTGGTTGGCTTCGAGGCAGGTGGGGCCGTACCTCTGCACTGCATCTATCGATGGACGGACTGGTGAATTGCGTATAGATGCGGGGAAGCATGACCATATCAACATCTGCGATTTGATCATCTTCGATGGCCCGCAGACATGCGAGTCGTGGCTGCCGGTGTTCGGAGCCAAGTGTGCTGCAGGAGATGCAGACGAGCCTTGGCCTGTTGTGTCCTGCCTCAAAGCTCCAACAAACCCTTGGAGATGAGATTGGGGGAAGCTTGACCGGATCCAGCAAACGCAGGGACGGCGGGTTCGCCGGCTTCTGGGCCTGGCGAGTGACAAGCGAACCATCATGAGGGGGGCAATGGGGGTAGCCTCCGACACTCCGAAAAAAACGTGCCGCATTGACTTCGACCCAGCGTCTTCTTCGATCTTCTTCCTCTGGCTGCCGTCAGGTTGATGCTTCATGCTGCATTCCTAGCCGCTTGCTTCCACCCTGCATGTCTAAGATCCACGCACGCTTAGACTTCTGCAGCACCTGCACGGGAGAAGCGAGGTGTTCACGGAAGCTTACAATTCCCGGGTGACAGCTTCATCTGGGCCTTGGTAGACACACTTACCTGCGCAGGAAGTCCCAAGCGTGGTTCGTCCTTAGCGGACCAGTGTGTTGTCGGCACAAGCCAAAGGCACCACGATCCGAGAAGGGCGGAACAAACTCAACATGCTCAGACCGCAGCGGGCTGTTTCACCCTCACTTCGGCCTGCTCAAGATGTGAAACAGAAAATTGCTGCCGCACTTTTATACCTGCCCAATAGCCTGAAGCTTCCCGGAGAAGCCCAGGAAGATGAGTGTGGCAGGCCCTCGAACACCACTGAGCACTGCCTGGGAAAGCTGGTACACGTAACAGTGCATGCCAACTGCACAACTGCACGGCAGCTGATGTCAAACAAGCCGTCCTAGATGCACCACGTCAGGGAACACATGCAGAGTATCACTGGCCACCACCGCGCGACGAGAAGTTCCAGCCTTCGCAGGATAGTACTCCCAGATCTTCTCGCCTGCCCAGACGGCCAAAGGTTCAACTTGATGCGGAACTTCTTCGGCTTAATACAGTTGACACCAGGGTTGACAGACCCTCGGGCACTCAACCCAAACTCGAGTCCTTGACAAGCTTGGAAATGCATCTGCTGCATCCATAAGCCACAGTGCAGCCACAACAGCCAAGACCCCACAAGGCCCACCGTTGATGGAAATCAGCTGGTCTCCGGCGACGACACCGGCACGGGCGGCTGGCCCGTCCTGCTCGAAACGCCCTATAACAAACTTAGCCTTGCAGCTAATGGCTTTTCGGAAGATTCGATGCCTGTGCAGCGAAAGAAGGCGAACAAGCAACGAGTGCTATAGATAGCCCTTGAAATCCCGACCAACTACAATCCCAGGGCTGGTCCCCGCGAACTGCCGTCACCATCAGGCGCCCTTGACCTGAGCAAAGGGTCGATTTCCCGGGAACTAAACCGAATGAAAGCCTTCATTCGTTGATGCTAGGGCTGCCAGGGGCTGGACATGTCCGATGCAAGCCCAGAACGTCCTGACACCGAAGACAGTTGTCGAGGCGGTGAAGCAAAGTCTGACGCCTTGGAAGGAATCTCCCCCATCTGGTACTGCACCTGGGTAAGAGACGCTGGGGTGTTCCAGCAAAGCAGACCACCGGACCGGTCAGGGCGAGGCCAGTCGGCCAATGACTCCAGTGACCCTGTCCGAAAAGCAGACTGCGTCGCTAATCACAGGCTCGAGAACAGGGCCTCTTCCGTTCCATCCACTCCTCCTCCTCATGTTGCGCCTGGCAGATTGGATCAGATTGGAAGATCCACGCGGCAGACAAGCCATACTCCGTCGAGAATGCAGCAGCAAAACACTCAGACATCTGTGTGTCTGTCCGTCTCTGCCGCAGGCGCACATTCTTTACGATGTATGCATGCATTATGTGCATATTATGAACATGCATACATGCACACACACACACACAGAGACACAGATGTGCCACATGAGCTTTCTGCCAACCGCTCGATGGTTCTCTGGCTTAGTCAGATTCGGTTCAGAGTCGTTCCTTGGTACCATCGAAGTCGGCAAGGAAGCACTGGGCTGCTGACTTCCGGCTTCGCGCTGGCGGGCGACACAGGCAATATGGGCCCGGTCCTGATGGGCTCTGTCGCTCCTGCCCCTCCGTCTGGCATCAAGCTTTCTGTGTGAACCCTTGCACTGAAGCTCAAGCTATGCTCGACATCCAACGTACAGCCCGCCCAAATGGAATGCCAATGGCCCGAAATTCAAACACAGGCTACACAGGCTGGGTCCGTGGCAGTTGCTTCGACGGCCCGAAGTGGTCGCCAGGAGGAGGGCGCCGAGGTCGCTGCCACTCCTCTGGATGAACGAGTCCACATTTGCCGCCTACAAACGGTAGCAGGTATTTGAGGGTGCACGAAGATGCAAGGGTACCGTATCCGGACCGCGGCCAGTAAAGATGTGTCTTTGTCTGGCTCCGATACACCGACACGGCTAGAAAAAACAGCGGAGCGAGGCAGAGCTTGGCATCGAGCTGCGCTGGAATACTCTCAGACATGGCCCCGGTCCTGATCGTCGTCCGGCACAAAGAGGAGATCCGCTTCCTCGATCTCCTTTCTCTCTGTAGGGCCAGCAATGGTTTGTGGAGACTCAGAGCACTTCGAAAGCGGGTCCTTCGCTGAGCCGCCACCGGCCTTGACGCCCCTACTTGACTTGGAACTCGCTGCTATTATTTCCACTACTGCCACCACTATGCTACTGCTACTCCTGCTCATCCTACTCCCACTCCCACTCCGACTCCTACTCCTACTGGTCCTGCTCCTACTCCTACCTACTCCGACCTCTACTCCTACTCTTTCTCCCACGCCAGCTCCTACTCCTCCTGCTACTGCTACGCTACTGCGACTGCGACTGCCATTGCTACTCCCACTGCTACTGCTCGTATCTGCTACTGCTACTGCTATTAGCTGCTACTGCTACTGCTCCTGCTACTTTTGCCATTGCCACTTCCAGTGCTATACCACTGCCACTGCCTGCCACTGCCACCACCACCACCACCATCAGCACCCACCAATACTCCTAAATGTAAACCCCTACATCCCCAAGCCAGTACGTAGGCACTGCTCAAAGACTATCTGAATTGGATACTGCTTCTGGAGTAGACCTGCAAGCTGGCGGCTGCAGGGGGTTGCAGTGTTGGCAAAGTCGGCTTCAAACCGTCAACGGGTCAACACCATGACATTCAACCTCACCCGTCGCCGAGTATCCCAGTGGATCCAAAGGGATTTTGAAACGGATTTAGCGGCAATCAGCAAGGTTGTGCATCTCCAAGCACGGGATGACGTGAAAAGCATCCACGAATTCGACAACTTGTTTCTATCACCAATCTCAACCAAACCTGTGGAAACTCGCGCCCGCGAGGTAGCACTCAGTAGCTGAGACCTGTACGACTCCAGGGAACTTCAGGGCAGCCTTGCACAGGTTGCCGCTCTCCGCCCTCAAAGCCGACCCAAGCCCTACATCATTGCCTCCACCAGCCCGCCGTTAGCTTTGACAGCGGCTGGGCCTAGACGAGCGGCCAGATAAGGTGTTCGACCGTTCGTTGGAATCCAAGTACGGGGCTTGGAGACTCATGACTAGGCACGTTTAGCAGCATGTTGCTGCACTGAAAGCATTCCAGGCTGCCGACTTTCAAGACCCTGTCAGGCGCTCCAAATCTCGGGCCCCAGGCTCGTAGGAGAGGAGATCACGCGCCCCGAGCCTTTGGAACTCGGAGTATGCCGGAGTCCAGGCCCCGCAACACTCGGCACGACACCACTGGGCTCGCAACCCTGGAAGCTTTCTCGCCTGCACATGGCACCATCAGTCCCGCAAGCAAAGGGCCACACCTTGCCACACCCTCACCTCGGCATCTCTGGTGTCATCCTCTGGGGTGAGCCGCTGGAGCCTGAGAAACGTGCTTGTCCAAGCTTGCTGCCGGATGCTGCGAGCCAAGAAACGGTGGCCTCCTTCGAAGTCTTCGCGAAGGAGGCTGCCGCCTGGGCGCTTTCTTTGGACTCCGCCTCCCTCTCCCTCGACAGTGGCCGAGATCCAGGCCGTTTGGGAGAACAGGCTGCTGCACCTTCCAGGCACTGCACTTCGACTAGGCCCTGTGCACCCGGCGCAAATCGCTGCTAAGTTAAGCACAATGGTTGCGCAATCCTCTCCTCCGGCCAGCCAAACATGTGTGGCCAGCAGCGGGTAGGGATGCAAAGGGTCGCAAAACGGGCTCATTCTCTGAAACTGTGGCACCCTGGCTCACGAGACTCTCCCCATACGTCCCTATACTGCCATATACCTTGGGAGTAGCCTTTGCACACTAACGGTGGGCAGAACGAGGAGCACAACAAAAAGCACAAGCTCGGAAGCCTTTTTGGGCACTAAAGTAAAATCACTCTGGCTTAAACCTTCTTCCGAGACCCTAGGGACTAGAACAGGAATCCCAAACCCTGAGGCCCAATTCGGGAATATCATATCATATCACTTATTTCTCGACTGACTTCAATTAAGCTCGTGGTATCTTAAAACATCAGAGTTCTAACAAAGCCCGCGAACATAAGCACCGTCCTTCAATCAAGCATAAATATGAATTATGCGGCTGGGCTGTGCCGCTGCGAAAATAGAATAGAATACGGACAGTATAAGACGTATTCCGTACTAACCCCGCTTATAGTAGAACAGAGTCAGTACGGGAGAAGATTGAATTTCGGGTTTGTCATCCTCTTTTTGAATGGGTATTCGTGTCGTGTTCCTCTCTAGCTTGCAGATTATGTTTGTGCTTGTGGCTTCTACTTCTGCTTCTTTTTGAGGGCATGGCGGGGTGCTGCCACCCAACGTGTCTTTGTGCTGCGGCTGCTGCGGTGTTGTTTTGGACAGGCGACGCTAGGCTAGGCACCTTCTGAAACGGTGCTTGGTTCAACCAAAAGCTGCTTGCCAAACTGCGTTTGTTTTGACGCTGCTGCAGTCTTGCTTCGTTGCTGTGGTAGTTGGTTGGTGCTTTGGGCGGCAGTTTCTCAAAGGGGGTGGAAGTGAAGGGCGGGGCAATTTCAGATGCTTGGGGGCTCGGCCGGGCCAGTTCCGGGTGGAGTGTAGCATTGGGGCCTGCACCGGCTGGCCTGGGTTGGGTCGCGGGTCCTGGGCCGCTGGCCCGGCCTGGGTCTGGGCGGGTCGACCAACTTTAGTACTAGGCCCGGGCCCGGCGGTCCGGGTGGGTCGACCAAGTTTAGTGCTGCAGCCTGGGCCGCCTCAAAGTCCCTAATCCTGGATTATGTTTTTTGTGCTCCTTCTTGTGCTCTTTTT